CCCCAATATGATAATGAAAGCGACAAAGCCAGGCCACATGTACATAGGGCAGGTGTTTTTATGCACTCATGGGATTTCCAAGATATGCAAAAATAGGACCTTGTAAATGAACCAGTAGAAACAGAAATTCAAGATAGCCTGAGGGGAACTAAATATGGTTCAGAATGGATAGAATACTGAAAACAGGTTAACATCTGTTATAGGGAAAAGGGTGAAGGGGTAGGTAATTCTGCCATGTCCCTTCATTATGATAGCATCATTCAGTCACCTCTGTTGATGGAGCAGTGAGCCAGGCCCAGAACAGTGGAGTGGATCCTATCCCTCTCCTACCATTCCACAGAGCACAGTTTGAAGCCTTCCTCCAGCCTAAGGAAACTTCCTCCAACTTCCATTGAAGGAAGAACATTTTAAATTGGATGAAGTCTTCTAACTTTGCTCAGCAGAGTGGCAGGATCCACCTCAGTGACTCAAGCATAACACTGTAATTATTTATTATTTATATAGCACCATTGATGTTCATGTTAAATATTAAGAAGCAGAAATGCAGATCCTTACACAAGCAGTGTCATCTCTAAAAATTAATGGGGGGCAAAGAAGGATTGGGGGGGGAAGTAGGCAAAGATAATGGAAAGACTGTGTTCAGTTCTGTTGTGTAAACTCAGGTTTTTTTTCAATAGTGGATGGTACTAAGATGTCAGGTCAAAGCCTTCTTGGAAAGGATGAGCCGAAGGAAAGAAGGAGAGGCATCATCATCTCTGTATTTTGGGAGAGAGTCCCAAGGAAACAGTGCTGCACTGTGAAGAGAGAGAAAAAGAGTAGAGGACCAATCACAGATTTTGGGGGGATCCCAGCTGGAAAAGGACAGAGGAAGAAGTTTCACCTTGGGGAAGTGTTGAGTAAATGATTAGATAACGAAGGGAAATAGTTGAGGACAGAACCATAGAACCTCAGGGTGTGAAAGGACTCAGCTGTGTAAAAAGCAGAAGTCAAGTAGGATTGGGACAGAAGGCAGTTTCAATGAAATGCAGAGTGAGAGCAACTGAGAAAGTGGGAGGAAGTGGTATGTTCCCAGAGTTTTTGGAAGAAATGGATACAAGGGAAACCAGATTTGGGGGGGGGGTGATTAAAGGAAACAGTCATCTTTG